GTATATGTTGTGCTCATTTTTAATAGGGTCAACTTTTCCATCGTAATAAGCCTAAGTGGTCAACACAATATGTCGTTATACTATTTTTTTTATTTTTCTATTTACACTTTTTTAGTTTCACCTCCAATATAGAAGGAAGAATGTAGCCCTGAGAAGCCTTCTGTACTTGCAAACCAAGTATCTGGTGTATCCAGTCCTGTGATTTCTTCTACAAGGTATATCATTGTAATTTCAGGTCACACATTCTAATTTCAAGGCACCCTCCATTTAAAGAGGTACTCGCCCAATTTACAACAGTACCCTTTAAAAATGATCTGGTTATAATGTGGAACATTTCATCCTTGAGCTTAAAAATCCCAACATTTTCCCGCATTATTTTTGCACAAGAAATTCTCAAGTCACTTTTATAAAGAAACAACAAATAAATAGAAAGCCACATGGAATTTAGTTAACAGTCCCTTATTATAAAACAATAATCACAAACTAAATACACTAGTCCTGCCATTTCCAAAATGTGGTATCCCATTGTAATAATTTCAAAATTATCAGAGATATTAAGACTATTGTTTAGATTTCAATGTTTTTCAAAAACTGGAATTGTTTATTTCTGAATGAAATCATTCACATCTCCGGTAGTTATGAAAACAAAAAAGCAGACTTCATTTTAGAAATAACAGGATTAGGACTATATTTTTTTTTATAAAAATCACTAATATATTTTAAAAATAATGTTCCAAAATGAACGCCACAAACTATTTCTAAGGTCACAGTAGACTTAAAAGTTTTCTATCAATTGTCAAGAAATTCAGCCATATGGAGAACAGCAATTGGTATCTGATTCTTAAATGTTCTGCCTAGGTTACAGACAGCTGAGAAGAGAAGACGACTTAAGACTTAAGACGACTTCTCATCAAAAAACGAAAATTATATTGTAACTGCTACAAACAATTTCTATAAGACTTTTCCTCCTACACTGTATTAGATTATACCCTATTTCAAAGAAGATTAACTTTGAAGATTTATCCTAAATCTAAATATTTTTTTTTTAAATGGGGAATGTTGATTTTCTGCACAGAGATAATTGGTCATTGATCAAGTATTAAAATAAAGATAAATTGTAAAACTGTGCGATAAAGCTTGTGTATTGAGTAAATGTATTAATCCCAGTTCATGGATATTTATTTTTAGAAAATATTATTTTTTTAAATACTTCAATATTTCAAAGAATTTTAAAAATATTTTTTCAATTATTGGCTTTAATTGCTTTTAAAAATAAAAATTGCTATGTAAATCTCTAATGAAACGTATGTACATTTGTGATTTTTGGCAAAATGAGGTTGTAAATAAAATTATATTATATTTCAAATTTTTGGTCTCGTAAAAACCATTTTTTTCAGATAAAAGACCAGCTTAAACAGAAAGAAGATTTAAAATACCTTCAGGAAAATTTGTTTACTGTTATTGATAGTTTTGAAATTTCTCTTGAATTAACATGTTTCATATTATTGTCTGACAAGCCAGAAAAAAAAGCTAAAAAGTGGAGATCTTCTATTTTTAATTCTAGAATAATGTAAGAAATCCACATTTTTGGCTAAAAATCTCATCAAAAATAAACAAAGGAAAAACTTTGCATTTTATTTTTTAAATTGAAAACAAATTAGTGTTACTTTTAGTAAGGGGATATGTTTCTTTAAAAATTAATACCCCCCCCTCTCCTTTCCTTTAGAAGGTTTCTTTTTTCAGTCAAAATCCTAAGGTTTTTGTTTTGGTTTTAAGTAAACAATGATTAGAATACAAAAACAGGGTTAAAAGATGGAGAGAGTGGAAGAGTCAAGGAAAACTGATCCTGGAGAATCTTCAGAAGTTAATTCAAAACATGTTGTTCTGACTGAAAGGGACCTTGGAAGCCTTATTTTTAAAAACAAAAATATGAATAGAAGTCTTTCTGATCGTGGAAATTTTTCATTTAATTTGAACAGATTGACGTTTATGTGTCCAGATTTCACTGTATCTACTGACCAACAAGGAGTTGTATTTCAGTATCCAAACCCAACCAAGCTTGAGAGTGCTCTTAAACAGATGTGCAAGGGTAACAGCAGTACACTCAAGCAAATTCAAAACCTGCCTCAAAGGTTCAGGGTGATTAAGGATGGATCCGTATTCATTATTAAGTGTTACTGTTACTTAGAGAGAAATGAAAGCGACATCTCAAGGTTTATCAGGAAAAATAAAGGAGTTATTCTGACAAGTAACAACTTGGGATTTTTTGACAAGAAATCTGCATTTATCTTCTGTGCTGAATTCAGACATTATGGGGCTAAATTTACAGAATCCTGTATTCAAGATCTTAAAAGTGTGATTCCAGATCTAAGTTCTTCTCAACAGGTGACTGACACCAAGAACGTTCCGAAGGTTTATGAGAAGTCAGCTTCTACTGGTTCTGCATTACAATCTAATTCCAGAAGCCTCAATCCTTCAACTGTTTCTACCTGTGTATACTCAAATGAAATTGGAAATACTACAGCACTGATGTTTAATAGTACACATATGTCACATGCATCCATTAGTGTAACCTCTGAAGTACCCCTCGTGTTTAACAACCATGATATTACTGGTCAAGAACTAGGAAACAGTGCTAACTCGACTAGTATTCAGATTGTAGCTGAAGTGGACTTGAAAACTGGCGGTACCATCCTTCGAGATAACACAAAAGCTTCTGAAAATCTGTATCTAGTTGATCAAGAAGAACTGAAACTAGTCTTCATACATAATGACTGTGTTCAAGAAAGAACAGGGTTTCTGTTCCATCCGAACTCCATCTGTTTCCTGTATCCGGTAGAAATTGATGTACGTGACACCCCATCTCATAATGAAGTGCCTCTTCACGTTCTTTCCACCTTTGGTCCAGTATTGAGAGTAACCAAAACATGGAATGGCTTCCTACGGGTCTGGTATTCTGATAGATATGAAGCGAATAGAACTGTTCGATTACTCAAGGATAAACATGAAATCAGGCAACTGCGAATTGAAGATGTATGTGCTCAAGAGAAACAGATTGAAGGTATGAAAGTTTCCCATCCATTATACAATATATATTTTGTGCTTGAAATTATATATCTTTTGTAAAACAAGTCTCATAACAAATTAAAACATATCGACAAAATTCAAGAAAGAATAATTCTTATGAAAATTCGAAATCTCTTCTTATTGTAGATGAGGATGGAGAGCTTATGATACTGTTCAGTTCAACCCAGAAGAAGGATATAAGCAGGTACATTGTACATTCTAGTTTTGCAATTTAATTCACTAAAAAATCCTAGCTGCAGTGCACAACTTTACGATGGGATGGACGAATGTGTGATCCTAAATTGCAAGCCTCCCCCGCTTGGGGCCTTACCTGAAATTGTTTCTTAAATATCAAAAATATTCTTATATGATTCTTAAACTATTTTTCATGTGACTTTTAAGCTAAAAGTTAAATGCCTCGTTTACAGAATGCCTTTTAAATCTTGGACAACAAGAGAATTAAGATATCTTTTTTTTGTTTTTGAAAAGGCTTTTTAAATTTGTCTGTAAAAACATACTTATAAACCTCTTTTTCATATTAATTAACATTTTGGAAAAGTTGTTTTGAATGTACTCTTAACTTCAAAGTTTTTGTTTATTTCAGTAAGTTTCCTAGTTCTAGAGTTTATAAGGATGCTAAGGTATTTGTTCATATCCATCACATATTCATGTTAAACTGTCCAGCCCCGCTAGTCAGTAATATTTTACCATTTTAAAATAAAATAATACAATGTTTCATTTTGAAATGTGCTCTGAAAGTTATGGTAACAGCTACCATTTTGGTTTAAATAAAGGCAGTGGCTCTTAAAATAATTCAATGCTCATAAAGAAATATTATTTACAATTTCAGGGTCTCCAATTTGCTATTTTGAAAACTTGAGTATTATTATTTAACATGATTGCAACTAAAAATGTAATCTCACTTGCTACTAACATAGAATATTTTTATCCTTAACTTTTATCTTTAACAGTTAGAAAATAGCTTGAAACCTCTTGAGCCCATAACTTTGCAGGATGGAAGATGAAAGATGAAAAGATATGCAAGAAAGTCGAAAATTTTAGATTTAATATTAGAATAATCAATAAGGTTTATGTTGTCTAAAATAATAATATTAGAATAATCAATATGATTAAATTAATTTTAGATGAATTGGGGGGAAAACAAAAAATTTAACATCAACGTTTTTTTAATCCTTATTAATATCTTTTTCCCAAAAAACTTGGTTAGTTTCCAAATTCATTGGGGGAAAATCTCAAGTAAAAAAATCTTTTTAAACTTCTTGGGTTTGTTAAAGAGGGGGAATTTTTCAAGAAAATATACACCCATGATGAAATTTCTTCCTTACATAAATGAACCTCCGGATTCTAGGGTTGGGTTCTCCTGTTCGAGGATCCTAGTCTCCTGTTTCAGGCATTCTATTCCCTGCTCAGAGATAAACAGGAAAAGAGATTTTTTATTCTGCTCCCTAGACAAGAAAAATACAGTGATCACCATAAAACTGTGGAAAAGGAAGACGACAATGTCAATATTATGCATAATTGATGTTGTTTATAAGCAAATAGTTTGCCTAAAAGCTTTAGAATCAGCTAAGTTCGTGAAATGGGTTTATGTAGACTGCTCAACTTACATATTTCTTAATCAGACTATTCAAAGTCATTATTTGAGATAAAAAGTCGTTTTCCATTCAACATTTTTAAGGTTCGCACTGTATCAAAAATATCATTAACTTATTTTTATTTTTAATGATTTAAAAAAACATTTGCAAATTTTGATTTTAAAATGCACCAAAAAGACAAAAGTTGCACAAAAGCAGTAAATTTCCAATTTCTTATTTATTATCCCATTAAGTTATATGTACCCTTTAAAAATGGTTGTTAGAAACAAAGAATTATCTAACCATCGAGCATTTGCAATAAAACTATCTCTTATTTAGTATGAAGATGTAGATATTCAACAACTAAGCTCTCTTTGTCCGGTAAAAATCTTACAAAAATCTTTAACATGTGAATGTTTGAATTTAATCTTTATTTACAAAATTGTAGATTTGATTTTATATGTTCTCTCTCAACATAAGAAAATGTTACTATGGATTAGGTATTTTGTGTGCGGGGGGGGGTGGGAGGGGTAGAATCTTCATTCTTCACACTCTTTAAATCATGTACAAAGTGTGTGAGGGGGGGTAGAATCTTCACACTCCTTTAAGGGACTTTAAACTTAATTTAAGTTACTCACCATTTATAGAGTGACATTCCTATTCACAACAGTACCCTTTGTCTGATCCAAAATACATTAGATAGATGGTTACCGACACATATTGTTCAGATTTTATATTGTCTGTTTCCATATATTCACTATTCCCTGCAACTGTAAATGTGTTTGTTTCTTTGCCAAATTATTAAATACGCGGTTGATAATTATATTTAATTTAACCTTGGGATTGTCACATTTTCAGAGTTTGCGGTCGTCTTCACAGTCTCAACCTTTGTGATGTTAACCCTGTATAAAAATAAAAGAGAAAGAAGATGACAATCATATAACTTTACAGTCCTCTGGATACATCTGTATAAGCATACTTTTAAAATGAATATTCGATTTTCCTCATTCTGGGATTTCCTAAACGTGGCCTGCCTCTTATCTGTTTTATATATTGATTAAGATCCTGAGAATTTTGTCCCAGACACAATTTCCATAAATTTTTTAATAAAAAACAGAATTGTTAAAATATTTAATATCTTCGTCAATTTTAAGATTATTGATCAATTTGCTTTAAACTTTGATTGGATAATTCAGTGATCTGCAAGAATGTTCTTAGCTTGCTTTAAGAGTTCTTAGTTTAGTTGTGAAAACTTAGTTTTTAGGCAAAGCTGGGTTTCCCTGCTATTTGTGTATAAATATATCCAATCTAGTTCATTGTACATAAAGATTATATACGTTAACAAATTAGGAGCTAAGACAAGATGGTTTAGGCCTGTACACTCTAGAGATACAACCTGGATCCTTTACACAGATACAGGTCCAACATTTTTACAATAATTGATTGTTAACGATGTGAAGGGATCTATCCAAAATTTAAAGTTCGTTAATTTATGATCGTTTCAGTTTCTGAACGTGTTTAAACTGCGTTCGTTTAATTTTCAGAAAGCTGTTGTCGTTTCAAATTTCAATTTAAAAAAAATACTGATCCATGCTTATGACGCCCAGCCCTACATCTTCTATGTAATAAAGCTCTTCACTCATATATATATATGAGTGAAGAGCTATATAGTTGGCCTAACGGCTGCACTAAATTGGTTCCCCCAAACATAGGTTAAAAAATTAAAATTTTATTTCTTCAAAAATCATTTTTTATTTTAAATTCCACGGGCAACGCCGGGTACTTCAACTAGTAGTACAGAGTCTAAAACTAAAGAACGAAAAGTTTTGACTTAAATTTTAAGTTCATGGTTAAATGCCACTACTGACTTAATTTAAACCTGAACTTTAACCGTGAAGTTAAATATTTAACCCTGTGGTTAAATATTTAACTCGCCGAAATCGACGAGTTAAAGTTTAAACACAGGGTTAAAATCTTGAAATCCTGCATTTTCCCTATTTGTCTATTATTCAATCATCATTCAGCTGCAGCTGAGAAAGCGGCATTCAACTTTACGTTATATTTAAAAGCGAAAACCTTGTTAAAGAAATTTTTCGTTTTAGATTAATTAATTTTTGCATGTAAACCCAAAATACGGTTGTAACTCGAAATATGTTTTGTTTAAGGTTACGTAATCAGCTGATTAGCGATGGTTATTTAATATTCTCCGTAAATCCTTTTCTCTGATTGGTTCAGATTTTCCCGGGAAATTCAAATTTAAAATTGAGAAAGTTTAATATTTAAGTAGCTATTCATTATTTTACAGAACTTTTAACCTCGAACTTAAAATCCGCGCATTCTTCAGTTTTAGACTCAGATAAACAGACGATAATATCTGGTTCAGGTTCTGCATGATGCCATGAAGGAAGGTGAGCTGGTCAGCTTCCAGAACAGTTTCCAGGATAGAAGGAAGTTTACAACTAACACCAAGGTTAGCAATTTTCCAATAAAAACCTTTTTGGCAATTTTCTAAGGATTAATTAGTTCTTTGATCTAATTCTTTATAACATTAAGACCTTTTTCCAGGGGTTAATATAACATTAAGACCTTTTTCCAGGGGTTAATCAGTTCTTTGATCTAATTCTTTATAACATTAAGACCTTTTTCCAGGGGTTAATCAGTTCTTTGAACTAATTCATTATAACATTAAGACCTTTTTCCAGGGGTTAATCAGTTCTTTGATATAATTCATATCATAACATTAAGACCTTTTTCCAGGGGTTAATCAGTTCTTTGATCTAATTCTTTATAACATTAAGACCTTTTTCCAGGGGTTAATCAGTTCTTTGAACTAATTCATTATAACATTAAGACCTTTTTCCAGGGGTTAATCAGTTTTTTTGATCTAATTCTTTATAACATTAAGACCTTTTTCCAGGGGTTAATCAGTTCTTTGATCTAGTTCATATCATAACATTAAGACCTTTTTCCAGGAGTTAATCAGTTCTTTGAACTAATTCATTATAACATTAAGACCTTTTTCCAGGGGTTAATCAGTTCTTTGATCTAATTCATTATAACATTAAGACCTTTTTCCAGGGGTTAATCAGTTCTTTGATCTAATTCATTATAACATTAATACATTTTTTCCAGGGGTTAATTAGTTCTTTGATCTAGTTCATTATAACATTAATACATTTTTTCCTGGGTTAATCAGTTCTTTGATCTAGTTCATTATAACATTAAGACCTTTTTTCATTCTTGATTTAGTAAAGTCACTTCAAGTTTGGAGCATGAAAAGTAAGATTTCCCTAAAAGTCTGATTGGATTGGATTGGATTGGATTGGATTGGATTGGATTGGATTGGATTGGATCGGATCGGATCGGATCGGATCGGATCGGATCGGACCGGATCGGAATCGGACTCGGAAGTAAATTTATCCTATTTTTAGCTGAAACTTTATTAATGAATGAGAGAGATCTAATTATTTATTCCTTAACATTTTGTTCTAAAGAACAAAATGTTTTATTTTCTTATTTCCTTCACAGTTGCATGAAGGATATTTGATCCATTGCAAATGGTTTTTTTCAAATTATATTAACAGTTTGTAAAGTAAAGTAAAGTACCAATGAAGCTTTAATTAAAATCGAGGTTGATTTATTGATTTGAATCTCAAAAATGTATGCTTGGCAGTCATGAGGTTAAAGCTAGTAAATATTGTACCATCTGAATCTAGTAACTTGAATTTTGTATTTTGTAAGGCCAAAGTACAACAGTGTTGAGAAAAATCTGAAGGAATAATTGGTGTTCATTTTCTATGACAGATAAAAAGTAAAATAGTACTAAACAACTTCCTCCAATTAGACAAAGAATGTTTCCAAGAGGTTAAAGACTCCCATTTATATAATTATATGTTGACTAGTTTGGGAACCCAGCGTTGCCCAGGGTACTCGCAGTAACTCCCGCCGTTTACCCGCACTTGGTCGGGAGACTAAATTTTTGCTATTGAAGTCGATCCACTCAACTTAGACTCTTAAACCAAACTAAGAATATTCCCGTGGTTCTCCCGAATTCCCCCAATCAAAATTTTAGGCAAATCGGTGACGGGGTTCCTGAGTTATGATCGGACAAACAGACAGATAGACAGAGATTACAACTTTATTATATTTAGATGTTTATACAATATGAAACCAAGAAGGAGGCTCTCCGAACACTGCTGTATATGAGAAGCAAGTATACAATTACCAGTAGTTTGTCGGTTCCAGGTTAGAAGTTCTTTCAATTTTAAACCTTTTTAATATTTAATTGGCAAGAGTTAATGTTTTCTTAAACAAATCTTATTTCTTTATAAAAAGCCGTTTTTGGGTGTGCATGTTCATTGATTTCTATTCAATTTTCATTAACTAAAAACTTATTAATGTAGGTCTGTGTTAACCCACCTCTTTAAAAAAGAATGTCGCTTATTCTGAGAAATCTGAAAGTAAAGGATACAAAATGATTTTTAATCTGTTTTTAGAAGTTGATAACAGAGCATTAAAGGTTTTTTAGCTGACTTTTGAAGTTGATAACAAAGCAATTCAGGGTTTTAAATAGAGATGGGCATCATTTTTGAGAATGAACAAAATTTTTCAAAGGAACGAAAACAAATTTTTAGAAATTAACGAACGATGAAGGAACAATTTGGATGAAACGAAGAAAATAAAGAAGATACTGGAAAAAACGTTTACTTTTCACCAGACAAACAAATTCTTTTAACGAACTTTTGAACATTAGTTCAAATAGAAAATGAAACTAAATAAGATGGAAAATTAACGAAAATTCTTTAAAAGAACGACTGAAATTTTTTTCTGAACAACTGAAAAATAAAACCAAATGGGTCATTAACGAACGATGAACGAACGAGAAAAAAGCAGAACGCGCCCATCTCTGGTTTAGCTTTATTTTGAAGTTAATAATAGGGCAAAACGGTTTTTATATCAGTACAGTTTATTACAGAGTAATAAAGGTTTTTTATCTGTATTTTGGAAGTTAATAAGAGAGCAATAAAGGTTTTGTAAGCTAGCTGTATTTTAAAGTATTATAACATGGCAATAACGATTTTTTAAAGCTGTATTTTAAAGTTAATAACGGGGCAATAATGGAGTTTAAGCTGTATTTTAAAGTTGAATAATACAGAATAAAACAGGCTTTTTAAGCTGTATTTTGAAGTAAATGACAGAAATAAGGTTTTTTTTATAAATGCTTTTGGTGAAAGAATAACATTATTTTCCGTGCAAACATATTTAACATCAAGGGGGGGGGTCGTATTCTTAAGGAAAAGGAGGGGGGAATGATTGTTCAAGAAAATATACGCCCCTGTTTTAATGAGAAATCCGCACCCTTCTCGTGTTGGGATATTTAATAGAAAGACTTTTTTATTGAAAGAACATATCACAGAAGACATTTTTACACAGGATATTTCATAGATAGGACATTTTTTACAACCGCAAAACCATGAATTGTGGTTGAAAAAAAAATGTCCATCTATGAGATGTCCACCAAACACCAAACATATTTGCAGATAATAATCTTGAGTTGGTTTACAGACCGGGAGTTGTAGACTCTAAACATATATCCAAACATTTTAAATGGTAGGTAAAATACAGGGTTACCCACAAAGGATGAGACTTTAAAGATGACTTTAATCTTTTCAAATACGACGATCCAAAGTTTTTATTAAGTCTTCCGCCTTGAATTGGTTTTAAAATGGCTAATTTAATGATTTAGCAAAGAAAGAAAGAATTTTTAGTTGCAGGGAATCATAAATATAAGGAAATAGCCAGTATACACTCTGTACAGTCGTCTCTGAAGTCTCATTCTTTGTGGGTAACCCTTTTAAAGTGAATTTAAACCTTAAAGTTATTACTGAAGAATTTATTTCAAATTTATTTGGTAATTAATCCACCCCCAATGCCCCACAACATTCAAGCGTAAATTTAAAAAGATAACCTAAGTTTAGGAAAAAAGATCAGATCCAAACCAAAACGTCCATTTAAGGTTTTGTTGTATTTTAACATTTTGGAGTATTGGACGTTTTTGGGCTATTTTGTCTTTGGTCGCTTTTATTTTGCGAATTGTTTCCACTGAGATGAAAAAAAATATTGAATAGTTTTGCCTGCAGAATACACGAGGAAGATCCAGGACAACTGCGGATAATGTTCAAGGACAAGAACATTCTAAGAAAAGGAAAAAGAAATTCAACTTTCAAAATTCTTAGATTTTTCTTTTAAAAAAATAAATTGTTGAGATTTAAGACTATTTTCTGAAAATTTACTAGTTAAATCTGTTAAATAGCACATATTTTTTTGTGTGTGTTTAAGATAAGAATTTCTTTTGTTAAGTTTACAAAATCCACAGTTTTGACTCAAATCTGTCTCTTCCTCCTCCACCCCTGCAACAAAAGCAACAAGAATAGAAACAATAATGTCATCAGAATTTGAAACTATAATGTCAAGTAGCATTTTTATTTTTGGTTCAGTTTTTCAGAACTTTGGAAAATCGAAAGATTTTATAAAATGTCGTCTTGACAATCTTTCAATGTGTTTTACTTTTAGACCTTAATCTCAATAATTGTGAAAATAAATAATAAGCCATGAAATATGCGGGAACAGTTCAAAGAGCTCCATATAATTTTTCAGTTAAAAACTAAATATCTGCAGTATTCCACTCAATAGGTTTTTAAGACGACATTTTGTAACTCAGCTTGATGCCTGCAAAGTTTTGGGTCAAACTGTATTCAGCACATTGCACAAATATTGTCATGCAAACTGTATTCAGCACATTGCACAAATATTGTCATGCAAACTGTATTCAGCACATTGCACAAATATTGTCATGCAAACTGTATTCAGCACATTGCACAAATATTGTCATGCAAACTGTATTCAGCACATTGCACAAATATTGTCATGCAAACTGTATTCAGCACATTGCACAAATATTGTCATGCAAACTGTATTCAGCACATTGCACAAATATTGNCATGTACCCAGTATTTAGTTTGTATATATGTATGAAGCCAATTTTTTACAGATTGATTCTTGCTGAAGAAGTTTAAACCCTCTTACATGAACTGAACACAAAAGACAATGAATGAAAAATTGAATTTTAACGTTTTTTTTTCAAAAATGGGATTTTATTCGAAAATTGTGCTGATTGTACAGATTTTTAAAAAAAATGTACGGATCTTTAAAAAAATGTACGGATTTTTTTAAAAAAATTGTGCGGATTGTACGGATTGTTTTTCGAAAATTGTACGAATTGTACGGATTTCTTATGAAAATGTACGGATTTTTGTACGGATGGGTTCAAAAAAGTTTTGGCCACCCTGCATTTGTGAAAATATTAATTATTGTAATTTATTTTCTGTCTATAGTTCAGTTTTCCTCTGAACGTTATAATATATATTTTTATTTTGTTAACTTCAAGATTCACAATTTTCATAGTTCGTTTTTTAACCAGTATTTCACCAAGTGAAACGAAAGATAGTTCTTAAATTTAAGTGTTGGATACGGGATAGCAGTAGTTTTGACACGCTAATCAAAGTGCCATGTGTCTTATAAATGTCGTCTTCCAATAAAGTAAATCAGGAATGAAACTCTTCTCAACACCCATTTTCTGAGACTAAAAAGTTGAAAATCTATGAATGTAAATCATGCTGTTTAAAGAATATATATTTTTTGGAATGTTTTATTTTATCCGCGTATAATTTATAAAGTACATTGTTCATTGTACATGAACAGAAGCTTTTTAGTGTCAAGCATGTTTTCTGTTATGCAAATTTAAGATACATTTATTTATATATTGAATTTGTTGACAGTGAGAACCTGAAAATTCTGGAATAGGAAGACGACTTACAGACTCGAGTTTTGACTTCAAATAGGTTCTCAACAATTGTTGAGTTCACATCATGCTAAAATAAGTTTTTAGTAAAATTATCATGAAATACATTGATATATTGTATTACTGTCGTCTGCCTATGGCATAATTCTATGTTTCTCATTGTAAAAGGTTTTTTTTTGAGGAGAACTGGTTATAAGAGCTAACCCTGTCTCAAATTGTCTCAAATCTTTTCTATCCATCCTGTTGGCAATGTGCTTCTATTGAAATACTAGCATGGGAAGTTAGAAACCCTGCTTAGTTTTCCTTGTTCAGTCAGCCCACGTAATTTTTAACCAAGCTAAGAATATTCCCGAGGCCGAATTTAAAGAATTTAAGCCGCGGCTCAAATTTTGTTGGTTCCACTTGAATTTGTAAAAGATTTTTCAAGATTTAAGCCGGCGCCTAATTGAAACCGGTTTTGGGGGGATATGAGACATTAAATTCGGACACTTCATATAAATATCTGTCTGTCTGTGACTGTATATCTTTGATATTTTGCATTCAGTGTGTGCTGTACTGTCCTGTATGGCTCCCCGAAGAACCATTACTGATGGTCAACCATAATATCAAATCATTCCTCACTAAAATACTTGACAATTTTTATTTATTTTTTACTTTTCATATTTTGTTCTCAATTTCTGTTGTGAAATCTAGCGGAGTGCATTTACCCCTGATAAAATAATGTAAAATATCGATGGTAGAAGAAGAAGGGAAAACTAAGGATTAGAATATAAATTTATCCCGATAATGCCAAAACACAGCTTAGAACTTTTCATAATTTTCCATGGTTATCCACCAAACACAGTGCTTAGGATCCGTAATCTTTTGGGTCCCTGGTTTTGGATCCGCGGATCCAAGGGGCAATAATTAACCAAAACCTGTTGCCTAAAATCTAAGCAAATATCTTTTTATTTGTTTAGACCCGGCCCGTGAATCCTGAACCATTTTTTCAGGCGGATCCGCAATAAAATGTAGGGATATACCAAGCACTACTTGATATAAACCTTTAGTTTATTAAGGAATTAATGAGTCTTTGTCACGAACTCAATTTCTCAAATTTCTATATCTTTGCAATCTGAAATTTTAACTTTTCAAACTTAGATTATTTGATCAAAAAGAATTCATAGTTAGAAATATCTAAGTTAAGAGACTCTATTTTAAATTGACAACATCTCTGATGCCATGTTTTGTGTATCCATGCTGTTTAAAAATTTTATGAAATCAAAATTGAAATAGAAAGTCGTCTTTCTTATATTGAAATAATCGCCTACCATCGTGCAATTTTATCAGATTCGCCCTTTATTTAAATAAGTACACATTTTTACTCCAACTCGCCCTGTAGTCAAATTATTTAAAAATTCCCCCTTAAATCGTTCCTTCATTAATTGAAATTGTGCGTTCCTAGAGCCTAAACTATTTTTTTATGCGACTCATGACAAATTTTTATTAATAAGTCTGAACTCATATTATGACAGACCATATGCCTGTACTCAAACTATAAACCTGTTCTCTAAGTTCTAGAGATCCCTGACTGAACCTATTTCTTGTTCAGGGTTTCCCACAAAAGATGAAACATCAGAGACGACTGTGCCTCATATTTATGATTTTCTGCAACTGTAAAATATGATTTCTTTGCCAAATCATAAGATAAGCCATGTAAGGCGGAAGACTGAAGCCGTCGTAAACTCTAATTATTTTCGGGTATCCCAATAAGATAATAGTGTTCTCCGATTCGTTAGAATTTTCTAGGTGTGATTTAGCTACAACTTCTTCGCCTTGCTAGCCCGGGAAATAGATGCTAAATCATTTCTACAAATCTAGTGAATGTTTAACGAATCAGATATTTCTTTGTAGAAAGTGCACATAACTAGGGAAGTATATTTAATTTTTTTTACATCATCTTCAGTCCTAGGACTTGCCTAGGACAGATTTTACCAACAAATTTGCATATACAGGGTGTCCCACGAAACATGACAGTTGGTGAATAGTTTAGAATGTCTTATTCTATAATTTGTTAAGTTGTTTGATACCAAAGACAAAAACAAAAATATAACATGGGAGTTATGTTATAGTAAAATTGATTTCAAAGTAAAATATATTTAAGCAAAAGATTTTTTAGCGAAATAAACTGCAAAACAACCTTTAATATCTATTAAAGTAAATGGAAAACGACATTCATAACTATTTATCAACTGTCAGGTTTCGCGGGACACCCTGTACTTATCAATATTAAGCAACAACTATTAAGAATTTGCGTAATTCAAATATCGTATTTTTGAAAAAAGAATTTAAAAAATGTTGAACTGCCAAATAAAACTAGATATTGAAGAGGGACTAGTTATGTATATTTGTATTGTATAAACTTTGGATTATACTAACAAAAATATTTTACAGATTTTATAAAGTAGATCCTAGGAAAGGGGCGGGGGCAAAGCTTTTAAGTGCCCTTGAAGAGATAGTTAAAACAATATACATTAATATCCTATTCCATTTCCAGATAATGTTAGGGTCCCCTGTAGACCAGAATATTCTACACATGTTTGTTCCCAAAAATAAAAAAATATTTATGATTTCAATATTTTTTTAAATATCAAAATGTGTTGATATTTAAAAAATATTTTTGACAGATGTTAAAATCATGAAACTGTTTTTTTATTGAATAATTGAGTTAAAATTCATGAAAAGATGGATAGATAGATAGATAGGCCTGATATTGGATACAAATAAGGTACACTGCAATCAAACCATCAAATCTGAATTCCTAATTATACCCCGGACATGTTTAGTAAACTTACTGAATAATTAAACAGACTTCTTAAATCATAAAATATTCAAATATTCCACGTAGAACTAAAGTAAATCGCACGTATGATTGCAAAATCTGTAATGTTTTTCTTTAATTATAACCCCCTCTAATGTAGAGCAAAAGAGAAGAACAAAAATGTTTTGAATATCTAATATATATATCTAATAAATCATAACATGGGAAGTAACAGAGTACTGTCGCATAGATTTTCTTCTGTTTAGTCTAGATTTAACTCTCGACTAAGCTAGCTCACTGTGATTTAAAAGTCCCACGTTCTGAAGAAAAATACGATGAGAATTTTGCCAATTACTTCTTAAAAACAAATGCTAACAACAAGTGCTTTATAGTGCTGAAATTTACATGTATAGGGCTACAGAAAATCATAATTGAATTATAACTGTAAAATCTAGGCCCAGGGCATTGCGACATTTCAAAGTCAACTCTGTCTTAAAAATTTATGAGACTGTTTATAAGGAGGCTGAATCTATGAGCGTAAAAGAATACCCTACAAAAAGCTAGTTTTATATGATTTTGATTGATATGTAAATTATTCTCGATGATTTGACGTGCGGCCGATATATATAACTATATATATATGCACGTTTTAATTAAGTTGATTAGTCATATCATGTTATTTTTACCAAAGAATTGATCAAGAGTCCATTTATAAAATATATTAATTCTGTCAAATTTATTTTTTCATGTTGATGATGATCCAAATCTTATAATATATTAGTTTCAAATTTTGTTGAAAATATATTTCAGTTGACCCTAGCCAGTTCTAACGATCGATACAATAACTATCAAAATCAATAATAAATAATATAAAAAAGTTAAAAACACAAAAATGTGCACTCTTCAATTAAGCTGATTGTCATAGCAATAGCTTCTGTGGTATGTTTTAACACTCTCTTTTAAGAATTGATCAAAAAGTATACATTTTAGTTATCTAGTAAAAATCATAAAAACATAAATATATGCACAATTTAATTAAGATGATTTGATTGTCTATAGCATGTAATTACTAGCTGCTGTGGCATGTTTCACAGTGTAAAACCATTCAGATATTACAAATCATTCAGATATTACAACCTATAGTCATCGATTATCTTTCGCCTCATTTTTATATAGTTTATATTTTATAATACTTTTTAATTAATTTGTTTTGAATTTGATTATTTCTCTTGTCGCTTGCGCAACTATCTACGAATGCCGCGAACCACTCACATTTTTCGAAATCTGTTTAAACGATTTCTAAAAGAAATAAAATATTATAAAATATAAACTATATA